AATACAATTTTCGTTTATGTAGATCACAATAAAAAGTACATATTCTATCATATCCTCTGAGACATTTCCATGATACATTGTGCATGGAAATGGCCACCGCGACTTCGGTACTCGTGCAGAGACCAATAAATATCGGCCACACACATACACAGCCAAGTGGATCTTCAGCCGTCTCCTCAAGTGATGATGAATCGGCAGTAAAGTCTACACGGGCCTTTTAATTTGTAGGAGTAATATGTCGGTATTAAAATGGATATCCGAGTGAAAAATAACAAATATGACTGGTTGTTATTGCTATCTCTGAATATTTTCTTTACTTGCTCTTTGCCGCTGACATGCCATATATGATAAGTGTCTTTGAATTAGTCCATCTTCAGCCATACATTGGATCACCTCCAACTAGCGCTGACTGAACCACGTGAAAAGTTGATGATGCAGTGCAGTGAAATTGTTTGGGCAGATTAACAAGGAACCTGTGAATAATTTATTAAAGTATCATTAAATTATAATGATAATAATAATAACAATAACAATAACAACAAAAATAATTACTATCTCAATAATAATAATAGCAATGGTAAAAATAATAATGAAAATTAATAATATTATTGATATTATTAATTTTACCATCACTATTATTACAGTTATTATTATTTTTTATTATTATAACAAATAATAATAATAGCAATAATAATAGTAGTAGTAGTAGTAGAAATAGTAGTAATAACACTAATAACAACAATAATAATAATGATAATGATGACAATAATAATAGTAATTATAATAATAATAATAGTAATGATCATAATAATAATAATAATAATAATAATAATAGTAATAACAATAGTAATAATAATGATCATAATAATAATAATGATAAAAAAATAATAATAACAATAGTAATAATAATAATAATAATAATTATAATAATAATAATAACAATAATAATGAAAATAATAATAAGAATAATAATAACAATATTAATAATAATGATAATAATAAAAATAACAATAATAATAATAATAAAGATAATAATAATAACAATAATAATAATAATAATGATAATAAAAGAAATAATAATATTAATCGTCATGATGAAATTAATAATGATAATAATAATAATATTAACAGTAATAATAATAACAATAATAATAATAATAATAATAATAATGATAATAATAATGATAATAATAATAAAAATAATCAATAATGATATTAGTGATAATGATAATTATGACTGACAATAATAATAATAATGATAATAATAATAATAATGATAATAATAATAATAATAATGATACTAATAATAATGTTAATAATAATAATAATGATAATAATGATAATAATGATAATAACAATAATAATAATAATGATAATAATGATGATAGTAAAGATAATAATAACAATAATAATAATAATAATAATAATAACAATAACAATAATAATAATAATAATAATAATAATAATAATGATAATAATAATAATAATAATAATAATAATAATAATAATAATAGCAATAACAATAAAAAATAATAATATTTGTAATAATAATGATAATAATAACAATAATAATATTAGCAATAACAATAAAAATAATAATATTTGCAATAATTATGATAATAATAATAATAATAATAATAATAATAATAGTAGTAATAATAATACAAATAATAATAATAATAATGATAACATTGATATTGATAATGATAATAATAATTTTACTACCTGCTGAAACTTTATTTTCATTTTGCGGATAAAAAATTCTAAGACGTATGCGCGATAAAAACAAAGAATATCCTGCTGATAAAAACAAACAAGATAAAGGCACTGGACTCACCAGCATTTCCCAGATGAAGGGGGCAAGCATGGCGCCAACCGTGGCCATCATCGTGCAAGTTCCGAGTCCTCGGACGCGCACCTCCGTCGGGAAGATTTCGCTGGCATAGAGATACACGATTTGGAAAGCTACTGTGATGGTCAGCCGACCCAGCATGGCCATTGTGACCACCAGCCACTCCAAGGCTGAGAAGGAATAAAAGGGATAAATTTAATCATATTAATGGTCCGTGGTAGTAACTGCTATATCTAGCCTAGGAGCGGCAGGCTACCTACCATCTGGGATGAAGCCGAGCACCAGCAGCGAGCCGGCGGTGGCCACTAAGAACAGCATGCTCGAAGCTCTCCTGCCCATCTTATCCGCCAGAGGGATGCTCAGCGTGCTACTAGGGACCTCCATCACTCCGCTAACCGCCATGTACACGAACGGGTCCACCCTCAGCTTGTCGGCGCCGAACGAGAGGCCGTAGTACACCATTCCCAGCACGAAGAACAGGGCATAAAACAACAGCGTAATGCTGCGCATCCTCCTCGTTCTGGAAAGCAAGCGTACTTTCAGATATTCCTACCAGCTTCTTAATGCATATATAGAGTATAGCTGACGATTCTGCATTTCGCATGCAGGTTGAAGGACATCATCATGTAAATCATGTGTTTTCATCCAAAATATGTATGGA